CGCGGCGCGGCGGCTCCATGTGCATGTTATTGTTCATGGCGCGAGGGCGTTAATTGTGGACCGCATGGCAACGTAACTACCTGAAGAATAGCTGTTCTGAGGCAGGCCCGGATGCCTACTCCGACTGCCCGACAGTACCGCGCACGACAGCTCGGAATAACGGACCACCGGGCCGACATGTTGGACCGAGCTGGACATCGGGTATAGTTACCGCCCATGTAATAGCAGAACAAACCGCCTAGCAGTAATCCGACCGCCCAATAATCCGACCTGTCAGACACCCAAAAAATCCGACACGGCGCTGCGCCGAAGGTCCGACAGGTCTCTAAAATCAAATCGCCCGGCAGCTTCCGATCCTATCTGACAGCCGCCGACCCGCCCGACAAGTCGGTGTCCTCGCGAAGTGTGGCGTGAACGTCGCTCGACGGCGGGCCAGATGGCGCACGGGCGCGGAAAAAGGCTTCGCGGCCGCGCCCTTTGTCCCAGGCGTCTCTCTGCCGTGGGTCTGGCTCCTGGCTGTGGGGAGGTTGTTTTTTTTAATGTTTTCTCATTCGCCTTTTGTGTACATACTTTAACAACTGAGTAAAAATAAATAAAAAAATATAACCGTATAAAAGAACGATGCAGTCGGTTAACGGGGCAGGTGCGGGTAATTAGGAGGGCGGGCGGGGCCGCGGTAAAAAAAAAAAATTCGGTAAAGAATAATAAATATAAAAAAAAACAGAAAAAATAAAGTTGTAAAATAAAATAAATAAAAAGCGAAGTGACCCCCTAACTAAAAAACGTAACCTAACTAACCCCCAAATTGCAGGTACTGTAACCTATCGTGGATTAGAGTGATTTACGATCAAGTTTATGTGAGAAAACGAAATTTGGAGTCTCCTGGTTAAATTTGAGCCTAACCTAACCTAACCTAACCTAACCTAACCTAACGTAACCTAACCTAACCTCCCCAAATTGCAGGTACTGTAACCTATCGTGGATTAGAGTGATTTACGATCAAGTTTATGTGAGAAAACGAAATTTGGAGTCTCCTGGTTAAATTTGAGCCTAACCTAACCTAACCTAACCTAACCTAACCTAACCTAACCAACGTAACCTAACCTAACCTCCCCAAATTGCAGGTACTGTAACCTATCGTGGATTAGAGTGATTTACGATCAAGTTTATGTGAGAAAACGAAATTTGGAGTCTCCTGGTTAAATTTGAGCCTAACCTAACCTAACCTAACCTAACCTAACCTAACCTAACCTAACCAACGTAACCTAACCTAACCTCCCCAAATTGCAGGTACTGTAACCTATCGTGGATTAGAGTGATTTACGATCAAGTTTATGTGAGAAAACGAAATTTGGAGTCTCCTGGTTAAATTTGAGCCTAACCTAACCTAACCTAACCTAACCTAACCTAACCTAACCTAACTAACCTAACCTAAAATTGCAGGTACTGTAACCTATCGTGGATTAGAGTGATTTACGATCAAGTTTATGTGAGAAAACGAAATTTGGAGTCTCCTGGTTAAATTTGAGCCTAACCTAACCTAACCTAACCTAACCTAACCTAACCTAACCTAACCAACGTAACCTAACCTAACCTCCCCAAATTGCAGGTACTGTAACCTATCGTGGATTAGAGTGATTTACGATCAAGTTTATGTGAGAAAACGAAATTTGGAGTCTCCTGGTTAAATTTGAGCCTAACCTAACCTAACCTAACCTAACCTAACCTAACCTAACCTAACCAACGTAACCTAACCTAACCTCCCCAAATTGCAGGTACTGTAACCTATCGTGGATTAGAGTGATTTACGATCAAGTTTATGTGAGAAAACGAAATTTGGAGTCTCCTGGTTAAATTTGAGCCTAACCTAACCTAACCTAACCTAACCTAACCTAACCTAACAACGTAACCTAACCTAACCTCCCCAAATTGCAGGTACTGTAACCTATCGTGGATTAGAGTGATTTACGATCAAGTTTATGTGAGAAAACGAAATTTGGAGTCTCCTGGTTAAATTTGAGCCTAAACCTAACCTAACCTAACCTAACCTAACCTAACCTAACCAACGTAACCTAACCTAACCTCCCCAAATTGCAGGTACTGTAACCTATCGTGGATTAGAGTGATTTACGATCAAGTTTATGTGAGAAAACGAAATTTGGAGTCTCCTGGTTAAATTTGAGCCTAACCTAACCTAACCTAACCTAACCTAACCTAACCTAACCAACGTAACCTAACCTAACCTCCCCAAATTGCAGGTACTGTAACCTATCGTGGATTAGAGTGATTTACGATCAAGTTTATGTGAGAAAACGAAATTTGGAGTCTCCTGGTTAAATTTGAGCCTAACCTAACCTAACCTAACCTAACCTAACCAACGTAACCTAACCTAACCTCCCCAAATTGCAGGTACTGTAACCTATCGTGGATTAGAGTGATTTACGATCAAGTTTATGTGAGAAAACGAAATTTGGAGTCTCCTGGTTAAATTTGAGCCTAACCTAACCTAACCTAACCTAACCTAACCTAACCTAACCTAACGTAACCTAACCTAACCTCCCCAAATTGCAGGTACTGTAACCTATCGTGGATTAGAGTGATTTACGATCAAGTTTATGTGAGAAAACGAAATTTGGAGTCTCCTGGTTAAATTTGAGCCTAACCTAACCTAACCTAACCTAACCTAACCTAACCTAACCCAACGTAACCTAACCTAACCTCCCCAAATTGCAGGTACTGTAACCTATCGTGGATTAGAGTGATTTACGATCAAGTTTATGTGAGAAAACGAAATTTGGAGTCTCCTGGTTAAATTTGAGCCTAACCTAACCTAACCTA